GAAATTTAATTTCAATAAAATTAAAATAATTATAGATTTTTTAAATACAACAAATTATAACTTTTTGAGAGCGACTGAAAAATAAAGATTGAGAAAACAAAAAGGAAATTCGCAAGAAAGAAAGAAAGAAAAAAAAAAAAAGTGTTGTAGAAAAGTTTAATGCATGATTAAAATTTGAAAGAGGCAGTCAAAGCAATAACAGTTGATGTATTGTAAATGGGTCCCACACTCTTTTATATATATATATATATAAATTTCAAATTATTTTGCTCGGTCAAATTTGTTTTGTTCGTGAAATTAAATTAAAGTGTCAAGAAATTGTAAATTGCGGCTACTTTTTTTTTTTTTTATATAAAAGTAAAAAATTTCCCCCTTTGATTTTTGTCCTTTTTGATTAATAAGTTGCAAAGTTTGTCACTAAAATTTTGTTACTTTCTAATCGATGAATCAATATTTTCGGCACGTTACTATCAATTACCGAAGTCGTGTCGGCTACGACTTTATATTCGTAATAGTAAAAATATTGTTAAAATAAATTTTTAGTAAAAATATTTTTTAAAAAAATTTATACCATCTTTTTGACATTTAGATTTGTGAAAAATAGTTATCGATATTGAAATATTAGGTATAAAAAGATTTTGTTTCTTAATAAATAAATGTTAATTTAAAATAAAAATGTGATATAAAATATCATATGTTAACGTTAAAACATTAAAATTTTAATATTTGTTCGTACCTACCTTTGTCTAACAAGTTCACTATAAAATGTACTGTTTATGGTCAAACATTATTTTATTCATATACTAAGATTTTCACACATGCAAAATTTTACCGAACAAAAAATAAAATATTTTTTTACTCTTCAAATAATATATGTATGTATATATTATGTTTTTATATTGGCCAACTACATCATGGAAATTACTTTTCTTAGCTTGCTTGCACGTCTTTCTTTTTGAATAATATATAATATAAACGATAATATACCATCATATATATTATTATATATTTAATCACTCACTTAAGTGAACACGAGGGAATGACACTCATCATTTTTATAATAAACATATATTGCCGAATATCTTATATTTATATTCAAATCTATACATATACGTGATATGTATCGTAACATATATCCATCCAACATATATGAAGTGGTTTTTTTAACCCTAATTAATTTTTTTTATTATTATTATACTATGTATATCATTAATTAATAACACAATTCATGGCTCTTATAGACAATAATAAAAAATTCATTATTCAGTCAAAAAATAATTAATTAATTTGACTAGATAAATTGTATAATTTTATATATACATATATATGGTTTAGATACTATATATATATATAGAAATGTTAGATATATGCTTAATTAAGTACAGTATATCATTAAGAGGATATATAATATGTGTATGTATACACAATATTTTACAGTATACCATTTTAAGTACATTAGTTTTTTTAATTAGTACGATTAGTATAGTATTTGATTAAGAGTCTGCGATATATACATATATATATGTATAGTATATGCACTAGAATCTACCAATCCAATATGCACAGGCTCTTGATTCAAATACAAGCAATTATTATTATAATATATATATATATACACACACACACGCACAGACACCATAGCCTTTGGAGTAGTGATTCCTTGCTCGCCATCACGCGACACCCAAAACGTCAAACCACAAATCAAACACTGATAAGAATTTTATATATATTTATATATATATAATTAAGTGGAATTATGGACTGCTAATGGAGATTAATTTATTAAATTGAGATTAAGACAGATTAGTTTATTAGTTTGTGTATGTATCTTGAAATTAATGTATAAAACATAATCTTTCTTGCCTAGATTACTCAAAGGAGATAGAGAGGCTATATACGTGGCGATAGCTGAGTAGTGTTCATATTCCCATAAATGTTGTCCGCTGTTGAGCTGTTTGATTAGCCCCAAACACACGTTAATTTTTAATTTTTTAATAAAAAATATTAGGTTAAAATTTCAACATATTATTATTATTCTCATTTAAAAATTAATAAATTTACTAAAATTAATCTAATTTATCACTACAATCACATAAATATAATAATAAATTAAATTTTTTATTTTATATACTAATTATTATACATCGATTTCTTCAGGCTATTTTTGGAATAAATTTAAAAAAATTTTACTGTTGGGTTAATTAAATTTATTTTATTTTTTATCCAACCAAATTATCAGTTAAGTTTAACCCAAATTATATATATAAATTTATATTATTACATATACACCGTATTTAAAAATAAGTTATGGATTTTGAATTAAAATTAAAATGTAAATCATATTACTGAATCGTACTCGGAACAAAAGCTTCTAATTCTCACCATCATGATAATCTGAAATTCATCATAAGGGGGTTCTCTTAGGCAACATAATAAC